CTTTTCCCGGAGCAGTAGAGCTGCCACTTTATATAGCATCAAGTAGCTCATCGTGAGTTATCTCAGTGCATGTTACAGATCTTGTATATAAAGCACATAAAGTTACTCCATTTCTAATATTTTCTCATGACTCAATGGTGACTCTCGTGTCTGCAGGTAAGGACTCCATACCAGCAGCACTTGCCCATTTATCTACTAACTCATTAGCAACTTTCCCTGGATCTGAGTGAGCAATGAATTTGGGCTTACAACCCCTGATTTTGGTTACTGCTCTCCATATGTCTTTAAGGTTCTTAATATTACCAATGGACTGAGCAAAGTCTTGCCAGTATCTGTCCCGCGCCTCCTTCCTCACCTGACTGCATTCCCTAGCCACTTCCAACATTGTAATGTTCTCTTCATCCCTCATTCCATTTTTTAACCATTCTTTATGTGCACTCCGTAGCATTCTCTCCCACCCCTTGACTTGCTGATCATTGGAATATTTAAATTTCTTAGGTCCATGCGTCTTGCTACCCCTGGCCCCGTTATTTTCCCTCTGTACTAATTTCTATGTTCTCGACCATGTCCTCGTAAAAACTATCAACGCAGAGCGGCGTGTATTGTTGATACCAATCTCCCATATTTTGAATAAAATAATTGTTCATATCTTTATTAATATTTAGTCATTTCCTTTGAAAGTGGACTTGTTTTTTTCCCCAGTGGTAATTTAACGTTCAAGGCAAAGTGGTCACTAAGTAGTTTCCGAACAACCCTAGCCTCCCCCATAATCCCTGAGAGTTTAACATGCAGGCATAGTCAAGCCGTCCTCCCCTGATGTGAGTTGGTTCATTGTTTCCCAAGAGACAGGTATCTGGATATCTCCCTCGAATTGAGAATGGTCCAGGACGGATCGAAACGTCGTCGTCCCTTCATCTTCTAGTGTGTGGTCTGGTCATCATATCTGGATGATCTTGTAGAAATTGTAATCACTTGACCCCATTAGCATTAATACTACCCACAGTCCCAAGGCTTTCCAAGAGTGTGATGGATAATGGGAGGTGTTTACCATGTGTGTGTGATGGATGGTGGGAGGTGTTTACCAAGTGTGTGATGGATGGTGGGAGGTGTTTACGAAGTGTGTGATGGATGGTGGGAGGTGTTTACCATGTGTGTGTGATGGATGGTGGGAGGTGTTTACCAAGTGTGTGATGGATGGCGGGAGGTGTATACCAAGTGTGTGATGGATAGTGGGAGGTGTTTACGAAGTGTGTGATGGATGGTGGGAGGTGTTTACCAAGTGTGTGTGACGGTTGGTGGGAGGTGTTTACCATGTGTGTGTGATGGATGGTGGGAGGTGTTTACCAAGTGTGTGATGGATGGTGGGAGGTGTTTACCAAGTGTGTGATGGATGGTGGGAGGTGTTTACCAAGTGTGTGATGGATGGTGGGAGGCAAAGCATCAGAGACAGTAGTTTTCTAGTTTAAAAAGCAAAATGTATTAATTTCTTAGCACTCTTTTATTCTGTAGAATAGAGGGGCGTCACAAGCGTGTCATCAACCATTATTTCATCGGAATAATATAATAATAGTGGAAAACCTTATAATTATTTAGTTTATATGTTAGTGAATGTGTGAATGCAACTTAAGCTTTGTTAATCTTTCTTCATATGAAAGATTTTTAATTTGGGGAATTAATTTAATCATCCTACGCTGGACACGTTCAAGTGAATTTATATCCATTCTATAATATGGCGACCAAAACTGAACTGCATAATCTAAATGGGGCCTTACTAGAGCAAGATATAGCTTGAGAACCACACCAGGTGTCTTGTTACTAACGCTGCGATTAATAAATCCAAGTGTCCGATTTGCCTTATTACGAACATTTATGCATTGATCCTTTTGTTTTAAATTATTACTAATCATAACTCCTAGATCCCTTTCGCAATCCGACTTCGCAATCTCAACACCATCTAACTCCTTTCTTGTAACTCTATCATCATTACCAAGCCTCGGAACTTTACATTTATCAGCATTAAACTGCATCTGCCAATCCTTTGACCATTTCAAAACCCTATCTAGATCAACTTGAAGTGATAGTGAGTCCTCCTCCGAATTAATTTCCCTACCGATTTTCGTATCATCGACAAATTTGCAAATGTTGCTACTCAAACCTGAATCTAAATCATTTATATATATTATAAACAACAGAGGTCCCAGGACAGAGCCCTGAGGCACTCCACTTACAACATTTTCCCACTCTGACTTGACTCCATTTATACTATCTCTCGGTTTCCTTTGGAATAGCCATGCCGTAATCCAAGTTAATATAGCACCCCCAATACCATGAGCTTCTATTTTTTTAATCAGTCTTTCATGTGGCACTGTATCAAAAGCTTTGCTAAAGTCAAGGTACACAACATCACAATCCTTACCAATATCAACTGCCTCAACTATGCTAGAATAAAAAGATAACAAATTTGTTAAACATAACCGGCCATTTTTAAAACCATGTTGCGACTCAATTATTAATTTATGTTTTCAAGATGAAGACGAATTTTATTTGCTATTATAGATTCGAGTAACTTTCCCACAATAGACGTTAGGCAAATTGGTCGATAGTTAGACGCAAGTGATCTATCTCCTTTCTTAAAAACTGGTATCACATTAGCAACTTTCCAAAGCTCTGGCACTCTGCCGACTCTATTGATTTATTAAATATGGTTGACAGTGGGTCACAAAGCTCCTCTTTGCATTCTTAATACATTCACATCCACCACGTTACGTGGCAATTGGTTCCACAAATCAACAACCCTGTTACTGAACCAGTATTTACCCAAGTCTGTCCTAAATCTAAACTTATCCAATTTATACCCATTGTTTCGTGTTCTGTCTTGTGTTAATATTTTTAATACCCTATTAATATCCCCCCTGTTATGTCCATTCATCCACTTGTAAACCTCTATCATGTCACCCCTAACTCTTTGCCTTTCCAATGAATGCAACTTAAGCTTTGTTAATCTTTCTTCATATGAAAGATTTCTAATTTGGGGAATTAACTTAGTCATCCTACGTTGGACACGTTCAAGTGAATTTATATCCATTCTATAATACGGCGACCAAAACTGAACTGCATAATCTAAATGGGGCCTAACCAGAGCAAGATATAGCTTAAGAACCACACCAGGTGTCTTCTTACTAACGCTTCGATTAATAAATCCCAGTGTCCCATTCGCCTTATTACGAACATTCATGCATTGATCCTTTTGTTTTAAATTCTTACTAATCATAACTCCCAGATCCCTTTCGCAATCTCAACACCATCAAGCTCGTATCTTGTAACTCTATCATCATTACCTAGCCTCAGAACTTTACATTTATCAGCATTAAACTGCATTTGCCAATCCTTTGACCATTTCAAAACCCTATCTAGATCAACTTGAAGTGATAGTGAGTCCTCCTCCGAATTAATTTCCCTACCGATTTTCGTATCATCGGCAAATTTGCAAATGTTGCTACTCAAACCTGAATCTAAATCATTTATATATATTATAAACAACAGAGGTCCCAGGACAGAGCCCTGAGGAACTCCACTAACAACATTATCCCACTCTGACTTGCCTCCATTTATACTAACTCTCTGTTTCCTTTGGTATAGCCATGCCCTAATCCAGCTTAATATAGCACCCCCAATACCATGAGCCTCCATCTTATTAATCAGTCTTTCATGTGGCACTGTATCAAAAACTTTGCTAAAGTCAAGGTACACAACATCACAATCCTTACCACTACAATCAACTATGCTAGAATAAAAGATAACAAATTTGTTAATCACCTGAAGGCATATGAGCCTCCATCTTATTAATCAGTCTTTCATGTGGCACTGTATCAAAAACTTTGCTAAAGTCAAGGTACACAACATCACAATCCATACCACTATCAACTGCCTCAACTATGCTAGAATAAAAAGATAACAAATTTGTTAATCATGAACGACCATTTATAAAACCATGTTGCGACTCAATTATTAATTTATGTTTTTCAAGATGAAGACGAATTTTATTTGCAATTATAGATTCGAGTAACTTTCCCTCGAAAGTTACAAAAGGATCAATGCATATGTTCGTAATAAGGCAAATCGGACACTCGGATTTATTAATCGCAGCGTTAGTAACAAGACACCTTGTGTGGTTCTCAAGCTATATCTTGCTCTAGTTAGGCCCCATTTAGATTATGCAGGTCAGTTTTGGTCGCCATATTATAGAATGGATATAAATTCACTTGAACGTGTCCAGCGTAGGATGACTAAGTTAATTCCCCAAATTAGAAATCTTTCATATGAAGAAAGATTAACAAAGCTTAAGTTGCATTCACTGGAAAGGCGAAGAGTTAGGGGTGACATGATAGAGGTTTACAAGTGGATGAATGGACATAACAAAGGGGATATTAATAGGGTATTAAAAGTATCAACACAAGACAGAACACGAAACAATGGGTATAAATTGGATAAGTTTAGATTTAGGAAAGACTTGGGGAAATACTGGTTCAGTAACAGGGTTGTTGATTTGTGGAACCAATTGCGGTGAGTTATATAATTGCCACGTAACATTGTGGAAGTGGGGTCCCTCGATTGTTTCAAGCATGGGTTGGACATGTATATGAGTGGGATTGGGTGGTTATAAATAGGAACTGCCTCGTATGGGCCAATAGGCCTTCTGCAGTTGCCTTTGTTCTTATGTTGAACATTTAACTATTGCCGGATGTGTTCAGAAGTGGTGAACATGTAACTATAACTGTATGTGTTCAGAAGTGGTGAACATGTTACTATAGCTGAATGTGTTCAGAAGTGGTGAACATGTAACTATAGCTGTATGTGTTCAGAAGTGGTGAACATTTAACTATTGCCGGATGTGTTCAGAAGTGGTGAACATTTAACTATTGCCGGATGTGTTCAGAAGTGGTGGACTTGTAACTATTGCCGGATGTGTTCAGAAGTGGTGGACTTGTAACTATTGCAGGATGTGTTCGGAAGTGGTGGACTTCAGCCTGCCCAGAGAGGTGCTGGAGATGGTGTTCACGCACGTGCCTCTAGTGCATTTGTTGACTGTCGATGCAACTGTCTGTCGCTTCTGGTACACAGTTATCCACAATCCTACGGTGAGTAATACAACCCTGCACTGAGTAATACAACCCTGTAGGGATTAATTCAACCCTTCAGTTAGTAATAAAACATTGTGGTGAGTTATATAATCGTTCTTTGAGTAATACAAGACGATGGTGAGTAATATAATCCTACATTGAGCAATATAATACTGAATGAAATATAAAATAAATTATTCACTGAAGTTTTCAAATTATGTAAAAAAAATAATTTGGAAATAACGTAACTATGGACAACTACTGCACTGAGAATGGGAAATTTTTCGTAATTCCATTATGTTTGTCATACTGTTAATTCGTTTGTCTTAATTTGCTATTGATCAATTTCAGTTTATTCCGTGGAGAAAAGTTCACCTTAGACTGAAGCTGGCGCCTTGGAGAGTACCATCCAACATGCCGCTCCTCCACACATGGAAGAGTGAAAAGCTGCCAACCATCCAACTCATATCTACCGACTGTCAGCGCCACGGGTTTACTTCCGTGAGAGACTGTATCCCCAGTGTCATCAGGTAAGATAACACTACTAGAGTGTGTTTCCCTTGTGTCATCAGGAAAGATAACACAACGAGAGTGTATCCCCAGTGTCATCAGGTAAGATAACACCATGAGAGACAATCACCAGCATCATCAAGAATGATAACACCATGACATGCTGGTATCACCAGCGTCATCAGGTAAGATAACACCAGGATAAACTGTATCACAAGTGCCATCAGGTGAGATAACACCATGAGAGACTCTATCACCAGTGTCATCAGGTAAGATGATTCCATGTGAGACTGTATAACTAGTGTAATCATGTAAGATAACAGTAGTGGTAACCACGACTACGACGGTGTATCTTTGCTTTCCCAAGGCAGGGTCGTAGTCTGGGTTGTTTTCAATTACCTCAGTGATGCACGGTTGTAGTCTAGGTCGTTCTTAGTTACCTCAGTGATGCACGGTCGTAGTCCAGGCCGTTTTCAGTTACCTCAGTGATGCACGGCCGTAGTCCAGGCCGTTTTCTATTCAATTTATATGGTATAATTCGTTCCTGGGCTTTGCTTAGAATATTTTTAAATAGGTTATATTTTGAATCCACATCGAAATCCCCTTTTACGTCACCCGTCGCTGGGTTCATGTCTAGCCCACACCCCATCTCCAAGACATTCCAATCTATTTGATCCAAAAAATTTCTTAGGCTATTGAAATCAGCTTTTCGAAAATCAGGCACTTTAACAGAATTTTCTCCTACAGATCTATTCCATTCTATGCTAAATCTGATTTCTTTATGATCACTGTTCCCTAGCTCACTCCCTATTTCCATGTCCTTAATTTGTGTTTCCCTGTTAGTTAACACTAAATCTAAAATATTATTTCCCCGCGTTGGTTCCATATTATGTTGCGTAAGAAAGCAATCGTCAATTAATTCTAGAAAGTCTTCTACTTCAATATTCCCTGTTTTGTTCACACAGTTTATTCCACTAAAATTAAAGTCACCCATGACATAAATACTGTTAGATCTAGATGCTCTAGATATTTCATCCCATGGATGCTTTGCTTCCATTCTGTCTAAATTTGGTGGCCTGTACACAACTCCTATTATAATAATATTTGCTTTTTCGTTTAATTCTATCCAAATAGTTTCTGTGTGTGGCTCAGTTTTGATTCCCTCTTTGAGACTACATTTCAAAATGTCCCTAACATATATGGCTACTCCCCCTCCTTGTCTAATATATCTATCTGTGTGAAATAGTTTAAATCCATTTATTTGATATTCAGCTAATAGTTCTCTATTTTCTACATTCATCCACGTTTCGGTAAGTGCAATAATATCTATTTTTTCTGTGCAGACAAGAGCATTTATATCGTTTATTTTGTTTCTTAGACTCCAACTGTTCGTGTAATATACCCTAAGTGTATCGTTATTTTGAGGACCTTCTGTTTCCTTGATCATTTTGCAAATAAGTTGCCTCTCACAAGCACATACTTTTATTACCTCCTTTCTCCATGTCAATTCCCATACCACTATCTATTAACGGTTTAAACCCAAACAAACCTCTCCATCCACAGTTTCCAACGAGTTTCCAATAGCAACAGCCCCAACTCTAGATATATGAACCCCATCCAGAGAATACATATCATTTCATCCATATTAGTGTTCCCAGGTATCTATGAATGATATTGCATTTGATTTGCACTATTTGTACAGTCAGCAATTGACACCAAATTGACACCAAGTGCCCTCGACAACCATTCATTTCCAACAACCTTTCTTTGAATTTGTTGAATATACAAATTTCAGGAACATGTTCCCTTTCCCTTATCTTTTCCTCTAATGATTTTGTTGCTTGATTTTTATGTACCATTTCAATAGCTTTCCAGTTCCTAACACTTTGTAGAAAAAATAATTTCTTTCTCCTTCATTTCTATTCCTATTTAGATGTTTTGCTTCATCAAGGTTTGTTGTCGTCCTTTGAGAGGTCCTGCGTTATTGACCAAACTTTGCCAACCTCACCACTCTCCAATTTTCCGGCAATTCTAAACACTTCCGTCATTTGTTTCCCTCCATTATATGTCACCCTTAAGGAGGGGTTCTTGTCTTTCTCATATTTTCCTATCGTCCTAAAATCACTATTTTCACTAAATCGTCACTATAATCTACTATTTTCTCTATGATTTTCATCTCTACTGCTGCTCTGTCCTCCCTAGATGATATTTTCGTGTCTAAACACCCAAAAATTATTTTGGACTTGTATTGTTGTAGTTTACTATTGGTAACTAGTTCTTTCCTAATTGTTTGCCTAACTTCTGTTTCTTCTTGGTCATTTCTGGTTTGGACTTCCAGAAACACTTCCGTGATAGTCTCTTTCTCTTTTACAACTTGCGCATATGTATCCTTAATTTCCTCCTTGTACTGTTTGTACAATAGTGTGACAAAGCATGTATGGGTCTGGGAATAGGGTACAGCAGGGAGGTACTGGTCCGGTCATTTTCAGGTAATGGAGGGTTGGGTGGGGGGCGTGTTAGGGCACATCGAAGGTCAACATCCTTCCAGTCAATGTTTGATTGTCTCATTTCTACAGGCATGAAATCTGTGATTTATGGTCCTGCTGCTCTTGCTTTGTCATGAATCGTTCTATGTAAACATTACATTAATTCCCTGACCTCCTTAATAAATGTTTGTGCTTCAGTATATATTCAACTGCATGTACATTGGTAAATTCTACCAGAACAATTCGTAGTATTCTGAGTATATGGTCCAGTACAATGTGATATCACAAGCTTTGTCATCGCCCGGTAAGCATTCAAACATCTAAGATATCTCCCAACTCTAGTCTTTCATATAGTACCCTCTTGTGTTTTGAAAGGAATTCATTCCTCGATTAGTCCCTGTATAACTATTGTTCTTTTCATATGTAGATCCTTGTCATCATCTTTCTCATCATTCTGCTTCAGTGTCCCTTGATGTATTGTGCCCACAGCTTTCTCTTTCTCATTTCTAATTACCATATTGCTTCCTTCATTTTCACATTTTCAAGAAGGGCTTTGTAATCTTTCCAATTTGTCCTCTTGCTGTTGGAGTCTCTCCTCTCCATCCCTTCCCAGCTTGCTCGGTACCCCGGTTATTGACCCTTCCTGTGTCAGTCATTGCAAGACTACCTTAATCAGAAAGTAGGTGAGTGTGTGTGTGTGCTCACGTGCTTGTGCGTGCACGTGCGTGAGTGTGTATGTGCGTGAGTGTGTGTATTTATTATTTGTATCTGCAGAATCGAGCTATTATCTCTTGGACCATGCATTCTAACGAATTTGTTTTCCTCAAAACAAAAATGCAAGGTTGTAGTCCTGGTTTCCACTACTGATAAACTTCATGAGAAACTGTATCACCAGTGTCACCAGGTAAGATAACACAACAAGAGAAACCATTAGAAGCGATTGATTGATTGATGAAGATTAAGCTACCCAAAAGGTGGCACGGGCATGAATAGCCCGTAAGTGGTGGCCCTTTTGAGCCATTACCAGTATCAAGAGCTGATACTGGAGATCTGTGGAGGTGCGACTGCACCCTGCGTGATGGGAGATGTCTCCCGTCAATTAGAAGCATGATAGAGCATCACTAATGGTGTGGTTGATATTGCAGGATGATGGGCAGCAGACAGGGGCCAGGAGCTGGAGCAGCCACCAAGCTGGTCCTTGAGAGACACAGACTGTACACCTTGGCAAGTGATACTCTGGAGAACATGGAGGAGGCACTCATGCCCAGACCCTTCAACCTCTGGCACTTCGCTACCCTTATTGTGTTCTGTAGGTGTTCCATACTCCTGTTCTCCTCCCATTGTTCTTGTTCTCGTCCATTGGCTCCTGTTCTCCTCCACTTGATCCTGTTTTTTTCCATCGTTCTGTTCTCCTTCCCTGGCTCCTGCTATTTCCATCCTCCTGTTAACCTAGCCCCTGGCTGGCTCCCCTCTTCCTCCTGTTCGTGTTATCCTGCCTCCACTTCTGTTCTCCTCCAGTTGGTTTTGTTCTCCTCCCCCTGGCTGTGGTTCTCCTCCAGTTGGGTTTGTTCTCCTCCCCCCTGGCTGTTGTTCTCCTCTAGTTGTTCGTGTTCTCCCAACCTTTATTATCTTCTTCCATTCCTCGTGTTTTCCTCTAATTGATCCTGTTCTCCTTCCCTTCCTTCTGTTCTCCCCCCTTCTTCCTGTTCTCCTCCAACTGTTGCTCATCTCCTCCCATGCTCTTGTTATCTTCCACCTGTTCCTGTTCTCCTCCCATTCCTGTTCAAGTTGTCCTGTTCCTGTTTTCCTCCCCTTGCCTCTCTTCTCCTCCCTTTCTCCTGTTCTCCTCCCCCTTTTGGTCTTGTTCACATCTCATTGCCTCGGTTCCCGTTGTCCCGATCATGTTCTTCCCTTGCTCCGGCTTTCCTTCATTTCCTTTTGTTCTCCTCCCCCTAGCTCGTGTTCTCCTCCCCCTAGCTCGTGTTCTCCTCCCCCTAGCTCGTGTTCTCCTCCCCTAGCTCGTGTTCTCCTCCCCTAGCTCGTGTTCTCCTCCCCCTAGTGTGTGTGTACTCACCTAATTGTACTCACCTAATTGTGTTCTCCTCTCCTTCCTTGCGGGGGTTGAGCTCTTGGCTCTTTGGTCCCGCCTCTCAACTGTCAATCAACTAATGTACAGGTTCCTGAGCCTACTGGGCTCTATCATATCTACACTTGAAGCTGTGTATGGAGTCAGCTATCTCCACCACATCACTGCCTAATGCATTCCATTTGTCTACTACTCTGACACTGAAAAAATTCTTTCTAACGTCTCTATGGCTCATTTGGGCACTCAATTTCCACCTGTGTCCCCTAGTGCGTGTGCCCCTTGTGGTAAATAGCCTGTCTTTATCTACCCTATCAATTCCTTTGAGAATCTTGTATGTGGTGATCATGTCCCCTCTAACTCTTCTGTCTCCCAGTGACGTGAGGTTTAATTCCCGTAGTCTCTCCTCGTAGCTCATACCCCTCAGTTCGGGTACTAGTCTGGTGGCAAACCTTTGAACCTTTTCCAGTTTAGTCTTATGCTTGACTAGATATGGACTCCATGCTGGAGCTGCATACTCCAGGATTGGCCTGACATATTTGGTATACAAAGTTCTGAAAGATTCCTTACACAAGTTTCTAAAGGCCGTTCTTATGTTAGCCAACCTGGCATATGCCGCTGATGTTATCCTCTTGATATGGGCTTCAGGGGACAGGTCTGGCGTGATATCAACCCCCAGGTCTTTCTCTCTCTCAGACTCTTGAAGTATTTCATCTCCCAAATGATACCTTGTATCTGGTCTCCTGCTCCCTACACCTATCTTCATTACATTGCATTTGCTTGGGTTAAACTCTAACAACCATTTGTTCGACCATTCCTGCAGCTTGTCCAGGTCTTCTTGAAGCCTCAAGCTGTCCTCCTCTGTCTTAATCCTGCTCATAATTTTGGTGTCGTCAGCAGACATTGAGAGGAATGAGTCTTTGCCTCTGGGAAATCATTTACGTATATCAGAAACAGGATAGGTCCGAGTACAGAGCCCTGTGGGACTCCACTGGTGACTTCACGGCAATCTGAGGTCTCACCTCTCACTGTAACTCTCTGCTTCTTATTGCGTAGGTACTCCCTTATCCACTGGAGCGCCCTACCAGTTACTCCTGCCTGTTTCTCCAGCTTATGCATCAACCTTTTATGGGGTACTGTGTCAAAGGCTTTCCGACAATCCAAAAAAATGCAGTCCGCCCATCCTTTTCTTTCTTGCTTAATCTTTGTCACCTGATCGTAGAATTCTATCAAGCCTGTAAGGCAAGAGTAAATCTTGTAAGGCAAGATTTACTCTTCCTGAACCCATGTTGATGGGTTGTCATGAAGTCCCTTCTCTGCAGTTAAGTTACTAAGTTTTTCTCACGATCTCCGTCACCTTGCATGGTATACAAGTTAAGGACACTGGCCTGTAGTTCAGTGCCTCTTGTCTGTCACCTTTTTTGTATATTGGGACTACATTACCAGTCTTCCATTTTTCTGGTAGGTCTCTCGTTTCCAGTAACCTACTATACACTATGGAGAGTGGCAAGCAGAGCGCTCCTGCACACTCTTTCAATGCCCATGGTGAGATTCTGTCCGGACCAACAGCCTTTCTCACGTCCAGATCCAACAGGTGCCTCTTGACCTCATCTCTAGTAATTTCGAACCCTTCTAAGGCCGCCTGGTTTACTGCCACCTCTCCTAGCCCAGTGACCTCTCCTCGTTCTATTGTGAAGATCTCCTGGGACCTCTTGTTGAGTTCCTCACACACCTCTTTGTCATTCTCTGTGTACCTGTCCTCACCCGTTCTAAATTTCATCACCTGTTCCTTCACTGTTGTTTTCCTCCTGATGTGACTGTGCAGTTGCTTTGGTTCGGTCTTGACTTTATTAGCTATATTACTTTCTTATTTTTTCTCAGCTTCTCTTCTCACACTAACATACTCATTCCTGGTTCTCTGGTATCTCTCTACTGTCTGGTTTTCTGTTATTTCGGAAGTTCCTCCACGCCCTTTTGTTCAGCTCCTTTGCTTTCATACATGCCCTATTAAACCACGGATTCTTCTTTTGCTTCTCGTTTTTTTTTCCTGACGGGCCGGGATAAACCAGTTTACAGCCTCCTGACACTTTTGGGTGACATAGTCCATCATGTCTTGTACGGACTTAGTTGTGAGTTCTGTGTCCCATGGTATATTCCCTAGGAATTTTCTCATCTCCTCATAATTTCCCTTTCGGTACACCAGCCCATTGTTTCCATGTTTTCCCACTTGTGAGTGAGAGTGAATGTGTGTGAGGGAGTGTGTGTGAGTGTGTGAGTGATGGTGAGTGTGTGTGAGTGTGAGTGATGATGAGTGTGTACTCACCTAGTTGTGCTTGCGGGGGTTGAGCTCTGGCTCTTTGGTCCCGCCTCTCAACCGTCAATCAACAGGTGTACAGGTTCCTGAGCCTATTGGGCTCTATCATATCTACACTTGAAACTGTGTATGGAGTCAGCCTCCACCACATTGCTTCCTAATGCATTCCATTTGTCAACCACTCTGACACTAAAAAAGTTCTTTCTAATATCTCTGTGGCTCATTTAGGCACTCAGTTTCCACCTGTGTCCCCTAGTGCGTGTGCCCCTTGTGTTAAATAGCCTATCTTTATCAACCCTGTCGATTCCCTTGAGAATCTTGAATGTGGTGATCATGTCCCCCCTAACTCTTCTGTCTTCCAACGAAGTGAGGTTCAATTCTCGTAGTCTCTCCTCGTAGCTCATACCTCTCAGCTCGGGTACTAGTCTGGTGGCAAACCTTTGAACCTTTTCCAGTTTACTCTTATGCTTGACGACATATGGACTCCAGGCTGGAGCCGCATACTCCAGGATTGGTCTGACATATGTGGTATATAATGTTCTGAAAGATTCCTTACACAAGTTTCTAAAGGCCGTTCTTATGTTAGCCAACCTGGCATATGCTGCTGATGTTATCCTCTTGATATGAGCTTCAGGGGACAGGTCTGGCGTGATATCAACCCCCAGGTCTTTCTCTCTCTCTGACTCTTGAAGTATTTCATCTCCCAAGTGATACTTGTATCTGGTCTCCTGCTTCCTACTCCTATCTTCATTACATTGCATTTGCTTGGGTTAAACTCTAACATCCATTTGTTCGACCATTCCTGCAGCTTGTCCAGGTCTTCTTGAAGCCTCAAGCTGTCCTCCTCTGTCTGAATCCTTCTCATAATTTTGGCGTCGTCAGCAAACGTCGTAGTGTGTGTGAGTTAGAGTGTGTGTGAGTGAAATTGAGTGTGCATGAATGAGTGAGAGTGTGTGGGTGAGTTAAAGTGAGTGTGCGTGAGTGAGAGTGAGTGTGAGTGAGTTGAAGTGAGTGAGATACGTAAGTGAGTGAGATACGTGAGTGAGATACGTAAGTGAGTGAGATACGTAAGTGAGTGAGATACGTGAGTGAGTGAGTGGGAGTGAGAGAGAGGGGGAGAGTGGGAGTGAGTGGAAGAGAGTGAGTGAGTGATTGGAAATGAGTGAGTGATTGAATGAGTTAGTGAGTGGGAGTGAGTGAGTAAGCAGAAGTTAGTGAGTAGGAGTGAGCGAGTAGGAGTGAGTGAGTGAGAGTGAGTGGGAGTGAGTGAGTGAGTGAGAGTGAGTGGCTGAGTGAGTAACTGAGTGAGTGGCTGAGTGAGTAACTGAGTGAGTGGAAGTGTGTGAGAGAGTAGGATTGAGAGAGTGGGAGTGAGTGAGTGAGTGAGTGAGTGTGAGTAAATAAGTGGGTGAGAGTGAGTGAGTGGGAAAGAGTGAATGAGAGGAAGAGAGAGTGAGTGAGTGGAAGCGAGCGAGTGGGAGTGAGCGAGTGGGAGTTAGTGAGTGTGTGCGAGTGAGTGAGTGGGAGTGTGTGAGTTAGTGAGTGGGAGAGAGTGAGTGTGAGTGAGTGAGTGAGTGGTAGTGAGTGGAAGTCTGAGTGAGTGGGTGAGTGGGTGTGTGGGTGAGTGATAGTGAGTGAGTGAGTGAGATTAAAAAGGGAAAACAAAACCTGGAAATTGTCTCTTAATCCACCAATATTTCCCTCAAACTAACGCAAGGTGCAGGGAACCCAGACACTGACGCATATATATATATATGCGACATATATATATATATATATATATATATATATATATATATATATATATATATATATATATATAATGCACATATATATATATATAATGCATATATATATGCATATATATATATATATATATATATATATATATATATATATATATATATATATATATATATATATATGCATATATATATATATATATATATGCATATATATATATATATATATGCATATATATATATATATATATATATATATATATATATATATATATATATATATATATATATATATATATATGCATGCATATATATATATGCATATATATATACATATATATATATGTCGTACCTAGTAGCCAGAACGCACTTCTCTGCCAACTATGCAAGGCCCGATTTGCCTAATAAGCCAAGTTTTCATGAATTAATTGTTTTTCGACTACCTAACCAACCTAACCTAACCTAACCTAACTTTTTCGGCTACCTAACCTAACGTAACCTATAATGATAGGTTAGGTTAGGTTAGGTTAGGTAGGGTTGGTTAGGTTCGGTCATATATCTACGTTAATTTTAACTCCAGTAAAAAAAAAGTTGACCTCATACATAATGAAATGGGTAGCTTTATCATTTCATAAGGAAAAATTTTGAGAAAATATATTATTTCAGGAAAACTTGGCTTATTAGGCAAATCGGGCTTTGCATAGTGGGCCGAGAAGTGCATTCTGGCTACTAGGTACGACATATATATATATATATATATATATATATATATATATATATATATATATATATATATATATATATATATATATATATATATATATATATATATATATATATATATATATATATATATATATATATATATATATATATATATATATATATATATATATATATATATATATATATATATATATATATATATATATATATATATATATATATATATATACCTATAAAGATAGGATAAGTTAGGTTAGGTAGGGTTGGTTAGGTTCGGTCATATATCTACGTTAATTTTAACTCCAATAAAAAAAATTGACCTCAAACATAATGAAATGGGTAGCTTTATCATTTCATAAGAAAAAAAATTGAGAAAATATATTAATTCATGAAAACTTGGCTTATTAGGCAAATCGGGCCTTGCATTGTAGGCTGAGAAGTGCGTTCTGGCTACTAGGTACGACATATATATATATATATATATATATATATATATATATATATATATATATATATATATATATATATATATATATATATATATATATATATATATATATATATATGACTGAGTTAGGTTGAGTATATAAAGGAGCTGTCACATATGGGTCAAGTCTGGAGAGGCGTATTTTAGTTTTGTTTTTAGATAGCAAATGCTTCCATATAGTCAGGCTGTTTACTCACCCATGCTGATAAGCAACAATAAATGTCATGCAGGAGGAAATGTTACTGATTATAGACAAAGAAATGTATTCAATAATTCACTTATCCAGTATAATAAGGTGAGAGAAGCGTATGAGCAATGACTTGATGTTGGCAGTGTCGGAGGACGTGTGGGACGTGGAGAGGGTGGTCGACCTGCTGCTTCACCCACACTCTTCCCTCACGTACGCTGCTGTCACCGAGGCCTTCTACTGCTTAGCCACCCTTCTGATTTACTGTACAGATCACTTCCATTTTCCAACAAGGTGAGTTAACTCTGTATTATAATTATGTTCGGGTCTTTCTTGTGGTGAGAAGTTTCACGATAAAAAGTATAAATGATCACAAAAGTAGCAAAAATCGTAATCACATCTGGGTAATATATAAGAAACGGTATATAGATGCAATGGGGTTCGTCCCATTGCTCCCTTTAAAAGTGTCGGATAGCATGGCGACCCCCCCCCCCACGAACTTGGTAGTAGGGGACCAGTTGAGTCTCCGGAATTCCACTATAATAGGACCCTTTGGAACTTAAATAAAGAACCAAGATGTCTGCCCAATGTCAAAGGCCAGAAACTTGCACAACCTCACCCAATTTTATACAGTGATTACCGAGGGGTATGGGGTTGATCAAATGTTTTGGAGTATGGTAAGGGGGGTATGGAGTTGATCAAATACCCCATTCCGAGGGGTATGGGGTATTTGAGCAACGTGATCGGGTTGGGTTCTGCATTATGTTAGAACTATAAAGTTGGCGGCTTCCATGGTGACCCCTGTGAATTTGGTTGAAACTCTGGCACTGTGTCAATCACGTAAAATATTCCATTCCAAGCCATGTTTGCAGTTTGTTGAAATAGAGTGGGATCCACCACGGATGTGTCGTCATAAGGTGGATGATGCCCGTTGTACCAAGCACTTGGTCGATCCGGCCACCAGGTCGATCCGGTCACCAGGTCGATCCGGCCACCAGGTCGATCCGGTCACCAGGTCGATCCGGCCACCAGGTCGATCCGGGCACCGGGTTGATCTGGGCACTGGGTTAATCTGAGCACTGGGTTAATCTGGGCACTGGGTTAATCTGGGCACTGGGTTGATCTGGGCACTGGGTTAATCTGGGCACTGGGTTAATCTGGCCACCAGGTCGATCCGGGCACCGGGTTGATCTAGGCACTGGGATGATCTAGGCACTGGGATGATCTAGGCACTGGGATGATCTAGGCACTGGGATGATCTAGGCACTGGGATGATCTAGGCACTGGGATGATCTAGGCACTGGGATGATCTAGGCACTGGGATGATTTAGGCACTGGGATGATCTAGGCACTGGGTTGATATTGGCACTGGGATGATCTAGGCACTGGGATGATCTAGGCACTGGGATGATCTTGGCACTGGGTTGATCTAGGCACTGGGTTGATCTTGGCACTGGGATGATCTAGGCACTGGGATGATATTGGCACTGGGTTGATCTTGGCACTGGGATGATCTTGGCACTGGGTTGATCTAGGCACTGGGATGATCTTGACACTGGGTTGATCTAGGCACTGGGATGATCTTGGCACTGGGTTGATCTAGGCACTGGGATGATCTTGGCACTGGGTTGATCTAGGCACTGGGATGATCTTGGCACTGGGTTGATCTTGGCACTGGGTTGATCTTGGCACTGGGTTGATCTTGGCACTGGGTTGATCTGGGCACTGGGATGATCTTGGCACTGGGTTGATCTTGGCACTGGGTTGATCTTGGCACTGGGTTGATCTAGGTACTGGGATGATCTTGGCACTGGGTTAATCTAGGCACTGGGATGATCTTGGCACTGGGTTGATCTTAGCACTGGGTTGATCTTGGCACTGGGTTGATCTGGGCACTGGGATGATCTGGGCACTGGGATGATCTTGGCACTGGGTTGATCTTCGCACTGGGTTGATCTGGGCACTGGGTTGATCTGGGCACTGGGATGATCTTGGCACTGGGTTGATCTTGGCACTGGGATGATCTGGGCACTGGGATGATCTTGGCACTGGGTTGATCTTGGCACTGGGATGATCTGGGCACTGGGATGATCTGGGCACTGGGTTGAACTGGGCACTGGGTTGAACTGGGCACTGGGTTGATCTGGGCACTGGGTTGATCTGGGAACTAGGATGATCTGGGCACTGGATTGATCTGGGCACTGGGTTTACCTGGCCACTGGGTTTACCTGGCCCCTGGGTTAGCATCACAGTTACCTAACGTAATCCAGGTGTAGCATCATAATGGCCTGACGTACCAAGTGTAGCGTCACAGAGACCTGACGTTCCAAGTGTAGCGTCACAGTGACTTGACGTACCAAGTGTAGCGTCACAGTAACCTGACGTACCAAGTGTAGCGTCACAGTGACCTGACGTACCAAGTGTAGCGTCACAGTAACCTGACGTACCAAGTGTATCGTCACAGTAACCTGACGTACCAAGTGTAGCGTCACAGTAACCTGACGTACCAAGTGTAGCGTCACAGTAACCTGACGTACCAAGTGTAGCGTCACAGTGACCTGACGTACCAAGTGTAGCGTCACAGTAACCTGACGTACCAAGTGTAGCGTCACAGTGACCTGTCGTACCAAGTGTAGCGTCACAGTGACTTGACGTACCAAGTGTAGCGTCACAGTGACTTGACGTACCAAGTGTAGCGTCACAGTGACCTGACGTACCAAGTGTAGCGTCACAGTAACTTGACGTTCCAAGTGTAGCGTCACAGTGACCTGACGTACCAAGTGTAGCGTCACAGTAACTTGACGTACCAAGTGTAGCGTCACAGTGACTTGACGTACCAAGTGTAGCGTCACAGTGACTTGACGTACCAAGTGTAGCGTCACAGTGACCTGACGTACCAAGTGTAGCGTCACAGTGACCTGACGTACCAAGTGTAGCGTCACAGTGACTTGACGTACCAAGTGTAGCGTCACAGTGACCTGACGTACCAAGTGTAGCGTCACAGTGGCTTGACGTACCAAGTGTAGCGTCACAGTGACTTGACGTACCAAATGTAGCGTCACAGTAACCTGACGTACCAAGTGTAGTGTGACAGTGACTTGACGTACCAAATGTAGCATCACAGTGACTTGACGTACCAAGTGTAGCGTCACAGTGGCTTGACGTACCAAGTGTAGCGTCACAGTGACTTGACGTACCAAGTGTAGCGTCACAGTGGCTTGACGTACCAAGTGTAGCGTCACAGTGGCTTGACGTACCAAGTGTAGCGTCACAGTGACTTGACGTACCAAGTGTAGCGTCACAGTAACTTGACGTACCAAATGTAGCGTCACAGTGACTTGACGTTGTAACACGGGGGGAGGGGGGTGTATTCCTTCTTTCCTTGTATGTATTCGTCTGTACTTCGTATCTCTGTTCTCTCTACCCCTCTCTTTACCCGAATTCTACTTTAGATCTCCATACCAAGGGACTCCAAAACTTTTACTAGAGCCGACTCCACGCCACGTGGTCTTAAGACGATTGACCGACTTAAGATTCTACAACCCGTATGACGTGACATAGGCTTCCAGCAAAACCCTAGTGTCGCCTTTTTGCCGCCACCACCAGACCAGTAATACTGAGCAATGACCGAGGTCTGGATAGATCATGCCAATCAATAACTTTGAGGCTTGATCCCCACTAGTAACATATAACTTGGAACTTACGTTAAGCTTTGGAAATATTAAAATCAAAGGGAATAACCGATCTCTTAATCGGTGTATTAGGCTTTGCGGCCCAACGAAAACTCGGCCTCGTGGGGACCACGTGACAAGGACATGAAAATGGAGAACATGAAATTAAATAAAAATGCCAATTACTAACTAATTAATTTATTCATCAAACTAAAACAAAATCTAAGAAGCACTCCCTAAACTTGAACACTCCCTGATTGACCATATCGGCAATGAGTTGTCCTATTCCCTATCCAAACTCTCTGAGCAAACTTTACCTTGGGCGACCAGCTAGATGTTTGTGCTGTTTTGGGGCCAATGATGGAGGCCACCTGCCCGAGTCGCTCCTGATCCCACACTGTCCCTGCTCGTCTGGTCCTAAAGGACCGGGCTAAGGATGAAGTTGATGGCCCTCTGAAACGACGAAGGCGCTGTCTTTAAACCAAACGGCATCCTACGGAATTGATAAGTGTGCCTACTATCCGAGAATGCAGTTTTCTCCCTATCCTGTTCTGCCACCGGAATCGCCCAATACGCCGATTTCGCGTCAAGAGTTGAGAAATACTTTGCAGCCCCAAGTTGATCTATTATCTCCTGTATTCGGGGCAACGGACACATCACCCTTAGTTAATTCGTTCACCTTCCGGTAGTCAACACAGAAACGATAACTACCGTCCGGTTTCCGAACTAACACCACAGGAGAGAGCCACGGTGACGTACTAGGCTCTATCACGCCCTGTCTCAACATTTTCTGGCACTCCTCCCTGATAACGTTCTTTGCCTGTTCTGGCAACCTCCACTGTCTCGTGTACATGGGCAAGTGATCGCCAGTTGGAATGGTGTGCTCAATCTTATCAAGGAGACCAATCTGGTCATCCAGGGGCCAGATTCACGAAGCAGTTAAGCAAGTACTTACGAACGTGTACATCTTTCCTCAATCTTTGACGCCTTTGGTTACATTTATTAAACAGTTTACAAGCATGAAAACTTGCCAATCAACTGTTGTTATTGTTATAAACAGCCTCCTGGTGCTTCGGAGCTCATTAACTATTTAATAATTGTAAATAAAGCCGCCAAAGATTGAGAAAAGATGAACAGGTTCGTAAGTATTTGCGTAACTTCTTCGTGAATCTGGCCCCAGGGTTTAACTGGCTACTTCCTTTTTTCCCTTCCATAACGGTGTCAACACCACATGTGGTTGTATCAAGAAGCTTAAAGAGGGTTTATATTTAATCTATTTTAGTACTGATAATTAAGTTCGTTCAAGGGTAATGTTTTTATGAGGTGTACAGTCCAGAGACTGATGTTTTAAGAATATTAGCTGGTGAGTTAAATGGTATGACATATGGCAATGATATCCTCGTTTTCTTCCGAGGAAAAATTCCACTGCAATCTCGTTTTCTTTGTGTTAACTTGTTAGCAGTAAATCAGCAGCAATATTATGTGCCTAATGTATTGAAAGTTAGTAAATGGTGTCGTTTTCCAACAGTTACTTTAACCTGGTGTATTAAACTCTTATACAATGATAACCTTACAGGTACTTCACCTGGTGTATTAAACTCTTATACAATGATAACTTTACAGGTAC